AGCTTTAAAGTAGATATAGTAGTAAAGAAAGAATAAATAATTTTTACATCTTGTAAAAATTTTCTCTCAGATTTTGAGCTTGTGTAAATTTCACATTTCTTATCCAGATTCTTTCCATAGGGTCATTGTTGAGGAAATAGGAGGAGGGAGTATTATATATAATCGCTATCTTGAATTACTTGTAAAATAATAAAGGCATGATAAACATAGAATAAACATGTTCTTTGACTCTGGATGTTGCATAATAAGAGTTCCACAAATATTTGGGCTTGCTAAGAAAAGATAGTTGCTTCCAACATCGATACACACGATTGGAGATGATCTGTAAATTTGCCATCCAAAAGAAGTTAATATTTTTCAAATGTTCTCCCTATCAAAGTCCAATCCTTAGCTTACCTGTGAAATACTACATGTATGAAATAGAGCTTACCTGTGAAATACTACATAGCAATAGCACCTAGACTTATATACCACTTTACAGTGTTTTACAGCCCTCTCTAAGTGGTTTACAGAATCAGCATATTGCCCCCAACAATTGATCAAACAGTATATGTTGTGATTTGGCAAAGTTCCCTTTCCCCATGCTATTAAAAATAGTGTTTAACCAAAAAAATATGTCAGGGTTCCAAGTAACACCCCCAATGAAAGAAGACTCTGAGGCTTGAAGTTCCTCAAAATTCCATTTTATTAGAGATATCATATTGGCACATCTGAGAAAACCTGGATCTGAAAGCTTCCAGATTTTTCCCACCCAATTGAAAGTCTAAGCCCCTACCCAGCACGCACATGTCCATCACATGACCCCCATCAGGAACCATCCCAGCTAGAAATGTCTCCCAGTCACACCACTCCAAGTACAGGGCAAAATGTCCTTGACTCTCTGAGAAAGGAATGTTGTTATGACTATACTGTATATCTCCCATACACCATATAATCCCCCCTCCCATTTTCCCACAGCATTAAATGTGGCAGGCCGGAAGGCCCAGTGCAAAAGATGGTTTCCAGGCCTAACAAAATAACCCCAAACTGTATTTGTTTTTTTAATGACAAAACCTCTTATGATGTGACACACTCTAAAGCATCTGCTAGTGCTACCAACTGGAGCAAGGCAAAAGAAGCGGGGGGGGGGGATAGCTATTTTGGCTTGCTTTTTAAAATAAAAATCCATCCGTGGGCAGGAGGCACCACTTGTGACAAAGTAGTTCATAACAGAAAAAAGCTCTTCTCAATCCTGTGAAGCTGAAATTGGATGAGATCCACTTTCTCAGCAGAGCAAGTAGAGCAAGACACAATTGACTGTTTGCTGGAACCGAAAGCATTCTGCTTCATTTTTAGGAGCACTTTGCATTCCAGTTCCTGTAACCTTATTAACAGAGTAACAGCATGGAAGGGACCTTGCAGGTCATCTAGTCCAGTGATCCCCAACCCCCGGTCCACGGACCGGTGCTGGGCCGTGGAGTACCTGGCACCGGGCCGCGCAGCAGCCGGGGGCCATGATCGCTGCAGCGGCC